TTTCAAGGGGAAAAATTGAATCAATACAAAATGAAACAAATTTGTGGGAAAATTACATTATTATCAAGATCAAATAGCAAAACTTTAGGAGTGTTTTTCACTTGCATTATCCATGCACACTAAAAGATTTAACTCATTTATGTTTAAATAGTGTCTACTACTTAATAATCTTTCTCATTTCATAATGAGAGAGGTGCACGTGACCATTTTGATAAAAAAAAATTGGACAAAAATGTTAGTTTGAATCACAAACACTAGACCATGAAAGATTTGGAATAACTAGAAATTAAAAGCTGAAGAAAGAAATGCAATAGAAGTAAAACTTGAAGATGTTGGCTTCAATTTTCCTCTAGCGAAAAGAAAATGAAAAAAATGCATAGTATTTCACATACGGTACATCTCAAGAACAAAATGTGTAATTTTGACTTTTCGTTGCTTTCGTTTATGGATAACTGTTTATTTAAGGTCATAAATGCCGTAACAAGGAGTTGCGGGTGTTGGTTGTGCAGGAAGAGCAAGAGGACGAAATAGAGGAGGTCGAAGGAGAGAGGGATGGAGTTGAGGAACTGATCGAATTGTCGCTCAATTCTGTAGTTGGGCTAACCACCTCCAACACTATGAAAGTTACGGGTTCCATCAGGGGGCAATCTGTAGTAGTTATGATTGATTGTGGAGCCACCCACAATTTTATTTCAGCGGAGTTGGTCGAGAAAATGGGGTTATGTACAATGGAGACTCCGGGTTATGGGGTTGTAATGGGGACTGGACTTTCAGGTAGAGGGGTTGGAATTTGTAAAGGGGTNATGTGAGTTTGAGTAAAACGCAGGTGGGTATGAAATCGATGATGAAGGCGTTCAAGGGTGGGGGCCATGGAGTGCTCCTAGAGTTGAGTAGTATGGGGGTTGTAGAAGTTGGGGCAGTGGCTGAGGTCCCTAACTCACTGGAAAAGGTACTGCAATGCTACAAAGGTGTGTTTGAATGGTCGAACGAACTGCCTCCATTCAGACATCATGATCATGCCATATTGCTGCAGCCCGGGGCATCACCAGTAAACGTCAGGCCTTTCCGATATCCCTATTTCCAGAAGAATGAGATTGAGAGGTTGGTTAGAGAAATTTTGGCTGCAGGCATCATTCAGCCCAGCCTCAGCCCCTTTTCTAGCCCGGTCCTATTGGTGAAGAAGAAAGATGGTAGTTTGCGATTCTGTGTTGACTACCGCGCCCTTAATAGAATTACGGTTCCTAACTAGTTTCCTATACCAGTAATTGACGAGCTGTTGGATGAACTATACGGTGCCCAAGTATTTTCAAAGCTGGATCTTAAGTCTGGATATCATCAAATTCGAGTGAGGCCTGAAGATATTCCGAAGACGGCATTTCGAACTCATGAAGGTCATTACGAATTTCTCGTGATGCCTTTCGGGCTGACCAATGCCCCCGCAACTTTTCAGCATTGTATGAACGAAGTGTTTAGGCTGTATCTGGGGAAGTTTGTGCTCGTCTTCTTTGATGATATATTGGTGTATAGTGGGACTTTGGAAGAACATTAGAGTCACTTGAGTTTAGTTTTGGGGTGTTTGCAAGAAAATCAGTTGTATGCTAACCAGAAGAAATGCTCGTTTGGGCAAAAGCAGTTGGAATATCTCGGCCACATCATTTCCGAAAAGGGTGCAGCGGTGGATCCGTCTAAAATTGAAGCTATGGTCAAGTGGCCTGTACCACGTTCTCCTCGGGAACTCCGTGGTTTTCTTGGGCTTACCTGTTATTATCAGCGTTTCGTAGCGGGATATGCTAATATTGCGTGGCCATTGATGGAGTTGTTAAAGAAGGATGGGTTTAACTGGAGTGAAAGGGCGGAAGAAGCTTTCCAGCAACTCAAAATCACCATGACAGAGGTTCCAGTCCTGGCTTTACAGGACTTCTCACAGGAATTTGTAGTGGAAACTGATGCTTCCGGATACGGTTTGGGTGCCGTTTTGATGCAAAATCAACATCCCATCGCCTACTTCAGTCAAGTATTGCCACAGAGTGCGCTGCGGAAGTCGGTATACGAGAGGGAATTAATGGCCATTGTGTTTGCACTGCAGAAATGGCGCCACTACTTATTGGGTCGACATTTTATTGTGCGGACTGATCAGAAGTGTCTGAAATTCTTGCTTGAGCAGCGGATTGTGAGTGAGGAACACCAAAAATGGCTAACTGAACTGCTGGGGTTCGATTTCCACATATAATATCGTCCTGGACTTGAGAATAAGGCAACGACGCCGTTTCCAGAATCGAGCCAACTCTGCACTGTCTATCTCTCTTAGTTCCTACAACTGTACAGTCGGAGGAAATCATGAAAGCAGTAGCCGAAGACGAGGAACTAGGTAAAGTAGTGACTGAACTACAATTTGGAATGGCAACCAAGACAGGGTATTCATTGTCTGGAGGAATTTTCTTATTTCACGGGAAGGTCGTTCTACCCAGAACCTCTCCTTTAGTACTTAAAGTTCTCCAGGAAGGTCATGACTCTAAGGTGGGTGGCCATTCGGGTTTCCTTAAAACCTACAGGCGGGTTAGTCGTGATGTGTATTGGCAGGGCATGAAGAAGGATATCAGGGAATATGTGTCTCGTTGCTCAGTGTGTCAACAAAACAAATACTTAGCTCTCTCACCTGGGGGTCTGTTGCAGCCGTTGCCTATTCCTACACTCATTTGGTCTGATCTCTCCATGGATTTCATCATACGGTTGCCTTGGTCTGGGGGTTGGGATATCATTCTGGTGGTGGTTGATAGACTAAGTAAGTATGCACATTTTATTGGTCTAAAACATCCGTTCACGGCTCCTATGGTGGCTGCTGTTTTTATTCGGGAGGTTGTCCGGTTACATGGTATGCCCCACTATATTGTCTCTGATCGAGATCGAATATTTATGAGCAGATTTTGGGCTGAACTTTTCAGGGCACAAGGGACTGCCCTCAATTACAGCACGGCGTACCACCCGCAAACCGATGGGCAAACGGAGGTGGTGAATAGATGTTTAGAAACCTATTTGAGATGTTTTGTTTCTGGTAGACAGCGAGCGTGGTCTCAATGGCTACCATGGGCTGAGTTTTGGTATAACACTTCATTCCACTCCTCAACCAAGCATACTCCTTTTCAGATTGTTTATGGACGCGACCCACCTCCTCTATTACCCTTCGAGTACTGCTATCTCCAGTGTGGAACAAATGCCGCAGGATAGGGATGAGGTGCTAGTAGAACTGAAGATGCAGCTTTCACGCGCACAACTGAGGATGAAGCAGCAGGCTGATTCACACCGTCGCGAGGTTCAGTTTGATGTTGGGGATTTGGTATATCTCAAGCTGAGACCCTATCGCCAGAAATCTGTAGCTAAACGGCTGACTGAGAAGTTGTCTCCACGCTACTATGGTCCATTCGAGGTGGAGTCGAGGGTGGGCAAGGTGGCTTATAGATTGAAGCTCCCTNGGGGATGTGAGTTTGAGTAAAACGCTGAAATCGATGATGAAGGCGTTCAAGGGTGGGGGCCATGGAGTGCTCCTAGAGTTGAGTAGTATGGGGGTTGTAGAAGTTGGGGCAGTGGTTGAGGTCCTTAACTCACTGGAAAAGGTACTGCAATGCTACAAAGGTGTGTTTGAATGGCCGAACGAACTGCCTCCATTCAGACATCATGATCATGCCATAATGTTGCAGCCCGGGGCATCACCAGTAAACGTCAGGCCTTTCCGATATCCCTATTTCCAGAAGAATGAGATTGAGAGGTTGGTTAGTGAAATGTTGGCTGCAGGCATCATTCAGCCCAGCCTCGGCCCTTTTTCTAGCCCGGTCCTATTGGTGAAGAAGAAAGATGGTAGTTGGCGATTCTGTGTTGACTACCGCGCCCTTAATAGAATTACGGTTCCTGACCGGTTTCCTATACCAGTAATTGACGAGCTGTTGGATGAACTACACGGTGCCCGAGTATTTTCAAAGCTGGATCTTAAGTCTGGATATCATCAAATTCGAGTGAGGCCTGAAGATATTCCGAAGATGGCATTTCGAACTCATGAAGGTCATTACGAATTTCTCGTGATGCCTTTCGGGCTGACCAATGCCCCTGCAACTTTTCAGCATTGTATGAACGAAGTGTTTAGGCCGTATCTGAGGAAGTTTGTGCTCGTCTTCTTTGATGATATATTGGTGTATAGTGGGACTTTGGAAGAACATCAGAGTCACTTGAGTTTGGTTTTGGGGTGTTTGCAAGAAAATCAGTTGTATGCTAATCAGAAGAAATGCTCGTTTGGGCAAAAGCAGTTGGAATATCTCGGCCACATCATTTCCGAAAAGGGTGTAGCGGCGGATCAGTCTAAAATTGAAGCTATGGTCAAGTGGCCTGTACCACGTTCTCCTCGGGAACTCCGTGGTTTTCTTGGGCTTACCGGTTATTATCGGCGTTTCGTAGCAGGATATGCTAATATTGCGTGGCCATTGACGGAATTGTTAAAGAAGGATGGGTTTAACTCGAGTGAAAGGGCGGAAGAAGCTTTCCAGCAACTCAAAGTCACCATGACAGAGGTTCCAGTCCTGGCTTTACCGGACTTCTCACAGGAATTTGTGGTGGAAACTGATGCTTTCGGATACGGGTTGGGTGTCGTTTTGATGCAAAATCAACATCCCATCGCCTACTTCAGTCAAGTATTGCCACAGAGTGCGCGGCGGAAGTCGGTATACGAGAGGGAATTAATGGCTATTGTGTTTGCACTGCAGAAATGGCGCCACTACTTACTGGGTCGACATTTTCTTGTGCGGACTGATCAGAAGAGTCTGAAATTCTTGCTTGAGCAGCGGATTGTAAGCGAGGAACACCAAAAATGGCTGACTAAACTGCTGGGGTTCGATTTCCACATACAATATCGTCCTGGGCTTGAGAATAAGGCAGCTGACGCCCTTTCCAGAATCGAGCCTACTCTGCACTGTTTATCTCTCTCAGTTCCTACAGCTGTACAATCGGAGGAAATCATGAAAGCAGTAGCCGAGGACGAGGAACTAGGTAAAGTAGTGACTGAACTACAATCTGGAATGGCAACCGAGACGGTATTCATTGTCTGGGGGAATTCTCTTATTTCACGGGAAGGTCGTTCTACCCAGAACCTCTCCTTTAGTACTTAAAGTTCTCCAGGAAGGTCATGACTCTAAGGTGGGTGGCCATTCGGGTTTCCTTAAAACCTACAGGCGGGTTAGTCGTGATGTGTATTGGCAGGGCATGAAGAAGGATATCCGGGAATATGTGTCTCGTTGCTCAGTGTGTCAACAAAACAAATACTTAGCTCTCTCACCTGGGGGTCTGTTGCAGCCATTGCCTATTCCTACACTCATTTGGTCTGATCTCTCCATGGATTTCATCGTACGGTTGCCTCGGTCTGGGGGTTGGGATACCATTCTGGTGGTGGTTAATAGACTAAGTAAGTATGCGCATTTTATTGGCCTAAAACATACGTTCACGACTCCTATGGTGGCTGCGGTTTTTATTTGGGAGGTTGTCCAGTTACATGGTATGCCCCACTCTATTGTCTCGGATCGAGATCGAATATTTATGAGCAGATTTTGGGCTGAACTTTTCAGGGCACAGGGACTGCCCTCAATTACAGCACGGCGTACCACCCGCAGACCGATGGGCAAACGGAGGTGGTGAATAGATGTTTAGAAACCTATTTGCGATGTTTTGTTTTTGGCAGACAGCGAGCGTGGTCTCAATGGCTACCATGGGCTGAGTTTTGGTATAACACTTCATTCTACTCCTCAACCAAGCATACTCCTTTTCAGATTGTTTATGGGCGCGACCCACCTCCTCTATTACCCTTCGAGAAGGGGGTTACTGCTATCTCCACTGTGGAACAAATGCTGCAGGATAGGGATGAGGTGCTAGTAGAATTGAAGATGCAGCTTTCACGCGCACAACTGCGGATGAAGTAGCAGGCTGATTCACACCGTCGCGAGGTTCAGTTTGATGTTGGGGATTTGGTATATCTCAAGTTGAGACCCTATCGCCAGAAATCTGTGGCTAAACGGCTGAATGAGAAGTTGTCTCCACGTTACTATAGTCCATTCGAGGTGGAATCGAGGGTGGGCATGGTGGCTTATAGATTGAAGCTCCCTCCTTCTGCAGATGTACATCCTGTGTTCCATGTTTCGCAACTACGAAAGGTAATTGGGGATGCTCAACCGACAACTCATCTGCCACCCCATCTACTGGATGTTGGAGAGTTCATTTTTTAACCGGAACAGGTACTGGGGATCAGACCTCAGACTAGGTTTTCTACTAAGGGGACAGAGGTGCTAATCAAATGGAGGGGTCGTCCTGACCATAAATCTTCTTGGGAGCAATTGGAAGTGATTCAGCGGCAGTTTCCCGACTTCCACCTTGAGGACAGGGTGGATTTTGAAGAGGGAGGGGGGGTAATGATAGACCTCCTATCATATTCACATACACGAGGAGAAAGAAAGAAGGTGGTGCAGTCACTGAGGCAAGTGCAGGAGCTGTGGCAGGGAATCAAATTTAGTTTGATATTGTTATCAGTTAGCTACTAGGGGTATTTTGGGGAATTGAGGGAGCGAGGAAGAGTCAATAAATATGAGAGTGGGGGGAAGGGGATGGGGATTCACGTTTTGGTTGAGTCT